ATGCATCCCGGCTAGCCAGGAAAGAGAGGGGGGCAGCAAGAGAGTAGCCCTCCTTCCTGATCCACATTAGGCCACACATCCTCAATATTATGAGGGTACTTGGCTAAGGGGGCTCCCCTCTGACAGGATACCTTGTCCCTACATATATTGGGAAAAAGGCTTCATCCCCATATCCCTGGCCCTTTATATGTGAGGGAGGAAACAGAACATTTACGACAAGGAAGCCATATATGGCCCCCTCCCATATGAATGAGTAAAGAGTATCCCTTGTTATTCATTCACAAAATGTATACACCCAGAAAAGTCCTTTATAAAAAATACATACATATAAAGTGATGTAGATCCAAACTCAATCAAGATGAATGATGTCCTGCTGAAACAAACACAATCACCTGCACACTATGGTTCTTCTCCCAACATGAATTACATCTCCCCAGATGGCTGCTGAATGTCAACAAACCAGCTGGGTATGCTGGGTGGCATAATTGGCATGATCATATTTAGTAAATTACATCATCCAGTCTTCATGCGCAGCTTGTCATGTTTGTGTCAGTGGTTAATTGGGGTGTGTGTTTCTGATCTTTGCATGGTTAAGCTTACATAGGTGTAGTCATTTCACTATAACTGTGTTTATGGACCAAAATAGAACAAAAAGAACCAAATATCACCAGTGTCAGAAGGACAGGAAAACTGTCTTTAGCAGATGTTTGTTGCCCATATTAGTCAAATAGAGTCTACCTTTCATGTTCCTTGTGCAGTATGGGGAAAATCAAAGAAGAACCTGATTTTTCCCCCTGAGCAGTATGTTACTGGTGTCTTCCTGTTGTTTATATCTATTTAGCATAATAAAGCTTGACTCCCACTCCCCTCTCTATCTGCAGCCCACCATAGCACTCTAGAAGCATTTATACATTTATTTAAAATGAGAGCATGTGGTCTGGTATGGTTCAGAAGAGGGAGCACTGCCCTCTCAGTATTCCTTCTCTAAATTCATACCAGAGTCTTAGAAATTATAAAGGGGGTATTGGAAGGCCACATTTTCCTGCTTTTTTTTTCGCCATTAAAAAGTCTGTACCAGACCCCTATTTAGGATAAGTGTTTGGTATGAAATTTGGGGTGATCTCAGTTTTTTTCCTTTTGCATGGCATGTGATCTTGCATGCTTCAGGAGGAAGACACAGAAAAAAAATATATGGGTCCCCCATAAATCCATACTAGACCCTTATTTCTTCTTTACAAAGGTTTGGTATGAAAGGAAAAAAAATGTGGGGTCCCCTCCAAAATCAATAACAGACCCTTAATAGGTTTAGATGGTTCAACAGGCCAAATGTGGCCTATTAGTTTGCCTGTTCAGCAATCTAAAACAGTTTATGGATGAACTCAAGCACATCCCTACTGAGTGATCCAGAGCGTGCATTCAGCCAGTAAAATATCAGGACATTTTGTATGAAAGAGACAGAAGGCAGTCCTGAGTTTTTGGGCCACAGTAGGCCATGCTTAGCTAGTGTAAACTGTTCCATATATGGGATGAATTCAACGATTCATCAGTTTGAAAATTTGGGAACTATTTTGGAACTATTTCTGCTATATATTTTTGAAATTAGGAACTCCAAGGCTGTTAGAGAGAAAAAAATGTCTTTATCAATGCTGTTTATTGCACTCAAGCAATAAAGTTACTCGCTCTGATATACTACTTGCAAGTAATCTGAATCGTGTTGCTCTCTCTCTCTTTATACATATTGTATATATAAATATTTATATGACCAATATGTTTATATATACAGTATATATATATGCTTTTTTTTCTGCAGGATTGTGGTGGAATGGCAGTGGGCCATTCACTGCTGTTACTGCAAATACTGGAGCCCTGTTCCTGTGTCTCCAAGTGACAGCTCTGCTCTCCCAGCAACAAACACAGAGCACTCCCTGGCCTGCATATCCCCATAACAGCAGAGGATGGGACAGGCAGTAGAGTAGGTGGGAGAGGTGTGAGTGTGGTACCTCAATACAGGAGGTACCACACTTCATACTCAGAGTTTCTTTTGAGTAGTTTTGCAAAGTGCGGTCTGCACATGACCGGCTTTGTTAGGTGGGAGCAAGAGAGGCGTAGTAATCTGACATCACCATTCTCCTGCTGAAGTTACTCCCACCAATGCAGCAAGCAAGAACATGCACTCTGCAGGTGCTCTCCTCTCTTCACCCCTCTGCACAGTAACATTCTGAGAATAATGAATGCAGCACTACCTCTGTTGTAGCATCAGAAACAAAAGGCTGGCTTTTCCACACATTAGAAGAGAGGGTAAGCAAGATACAACCTTATGTACAGTAAGTCTTTGCATTGTGACTTAGTGTATGTGGCCAGCTGTTTATTCTAGATATAGAGCAAATATTTAGCTGGGTGTGAAACAGGACAATGGGAGGGAATGGTTTCTACAGAAGGTGTGGACTTGGATATTCATACAGGGCGATTACACGTGTGCCCCGTGCAGGGCAATGTTTTACCAGCAAGTACATGTGCAGGTGTTCTGTGCATCCCCATGTCAGCAGTCCCATTATAATCTATTGGGATGGAGGGGCTGCACAGATATGGCCACTGCTCCCAATGTGACATCTGTGCAGGTATACAGCCTCAAAACACCCAGGGTGAGTTCAGGGACATGCACCCATACCCACATGAATGTCATATTGGGACACAGTGACTGTGACCGTGCAAACATTAATGGGACTGCCTACATGGGAATTCACAGAACATCTCTGCATCCCTGTGTGGGTAAACACAACCTTGAACAGGGCATAGATCAAATTGCCCTGCGTGAATGAAGCCTTAGGCTGTGGGGGATATATTTACTGGAGGTGCAGGGGGGGATTAGGGCTGCTGGGTGAGATCTGAGCTGGGATCGATATGGGGCTGGGGAGAGGAGTTTATATTGTCTGGAGGAGGTGATTTTTGGATGTATTCTGTACAGTGGCCTGGGAATCACTTACTCCTATCCCTTGCACTCTCTGCATTACTTACTGCTGACCCATCTCTGCATTACTTACTGCTGACCCTTGTACTCTCTACATTACTTACTCTTGACCACTGCACTTTCTGTATTACTTACTCCTGACCCCTGCACTCTCTGCATTACTTACCTCTGACCCCTGCATTTTATGCATTTTGCACGCCAGACTCCTGCATTCTCTGCATTGTTGAGTTTCTGCATCTTTTCTATGATAAAAAAAGCCATATATATCTATATCTATCAATATCTATCAATATCTATCAATATATATATATATATATATTTAAAACAGAAAAGAAAATAGTAAAGCAAAAGTTTATTTATAGTGATGCCACAATGTGGAAAGTGACATCATTGTAAATCCTAAACTGTGCTTATAAATCTGAAAACAGAGACAATGGAAATGTACAATTACATTCACACTAGAAACTGCACCAAAGATGAGGCAAGCAGCATTTATTGCTTGCACACCATGCTAAAATTCGACAGTATGAATGTAACCTAAATAAGCAGGTCACAAACCCTGTATTGTTTATAAATGGCACGAAGGTGTACTCAAGGTAGGGAAATGGGAAATTGCAGTAACCCTCAGACTTAATCTGAATTTTATCTTCAAACATAGCCAGAGTTTCTAAACACCATTTCACAGATGTCATTTTGTTTCTGTCATACTGTACCTAAAGATAACTATAATGATTATATACTTTCCACTTAATAAAAAAAGAACAGGTGAAGTCTTTATTTAAGGCAATAGTAGCAAATTCTCCTTAAACTACAGAATGTCCTCTGACCTGTCTTATTCATGTGTAGCGGAACAATTTTTGAAGTGCTCCAATCTCTTCACAGCTAGCTATTAATTTTATAACAGGTTTGTAGAAACAGGATGGTTAATGCAACTGTTCAACATAATATATCTTAATTGGAAGAAGCAGAACACAATATGCTAGCTATGAAGTGTATGTGGAAATGCTAGTTTTAATGCCAAAGCTAAAATGGGAAAGATTGCCCTTCTCAATTTGTAAAGTATGCTTCTTGTGGAGATATTCATTGTCTTAAAACAGTTTTTGCGTATGATGCGTTATCTAAAATAGTAACCAAAATTTAATATTTTAATTTATCATGTAAAACAAATCATTCATTATTTTGTTGAATAAAGTATTGAATATTCTGAATGTATGCACTAGTTTTCACACAGGGCTACTGAGTATCATTCAGTGTCTTGTGTTAATAAAATAGAAAATGTCTCATTTAATGAACACTCCTGCTTTTTAGGATCTTTTAACTGCATAACGGCACAATTACACATACATGTGGTGTCCAGGGGGGACTGGACTTTAACCACTTGCCTACCGGGCACTTATACCCCCTTCCTTACCAGGCCAATTTTCAGCTTTCAGCGCTGCCGCACTTTGATTGACAATTGCGCCGTCATGCAACATTGTACCCATATGAAATTTTGATCATTTTTTTCTCACAAATAGAGCTTTCTTTTGGTGGTATTTAATCGCCACTGGGCGCTTTACTTTTTGCGCTATAAATTAAAAAAAGTGCAAAAAATTTAAAAAAAAAAAAAAAAGTTTATTTGTTTCTTTTATAAAATTTTTCAAACAGGTATTTTTTCTTCTTCACTGATTTGCGTTGATGAGGCGGCACTGTTGGGCACTGATAGGCGGCACTGATGGGCACTGATAGGCAGCACTAAAGGGCACTGATAGGCAGTACTAATGAGGTGGCACGGATAGGCGGCACTGATAGACAGCACTAATTAGGGGTCACGGATAGGCGGCACTGATATGCAGCACTGATAGGCGGCACTGATAGGTGACACTGATTATGGGTACTGATAGACGGCACTGACTGGCATCACTTCTGGGCACTGACTGGCGGCACTGACTGGCACAACCCCTGGGCACTGACTGGTGGCACTGACTGGCAGCACTGCTGGGCTGCACTGGTGGGCGGCACTGGTGGGCACCACTGGTGGGTGGGCACAGGTGGGTGGCACTGGTGGGCACAGGTGGGTGGCACTGGTGGGCACAGGGGGTGGGCACAGGTGGGTGGCACTGCTGGCACATGTAGGTGGCACTTCTGGGCACAGGTAGGTGGCACTGCAGAGTGGCACAGGTGGGGGCACTGCTGGGCACAGGTGGGGGCACTGCTGGGCACAGGTGGGGGCACTGCTGGGCACGGGTGGGCGGGGCTAGTGGGCGCACTGCTGGGAGGAAACTTGCGGGGGTCACTGCTGGGCACCGATCATCAGGGCACTGATCATCAGTGCCCTATATGATCGGTGCCGATCCCCGCTCTGACAACTGCCGGTTCTCGGCAGTACTTTCCTCACGATCTGACAGCGTGAGGAAAGTGCAGCCGAGAACCGGCACTTGCATTTTCCTGTGATCAGCGTGTCATGGGACACCGCTGATCACGTGGTAAAAGGCCGGTAGGGGATCGGCCTTTGTGAACATCTCGTGATCAGCTGTGTCCGTAGGACACAGCGATCACGGAGATCGCCGGGTGCGCGCCCCCTGGGGCGCGCAGGAGAGCGCGTTCTGGGAGGACGTCATATGACGTCCACCCAGAACTAGCCGGCCGCGGTGCAGCCGTCATTCGGCTATGCGCGGTCGGCAAGTGGTTAAACCTGGATGCCACATGTATGTGTTTTCCTGTGTTTGTACTGGGAGATTGTTGTGGAGAGAGCCCCAGGTATCGTACTAGAGCCCAGATCACTGGGTCATTGTGATAGTCTCTGATTGGCTATCACAGTGATCGATCTGTGCTTTCTTTGATACATTGTATCTTTCTCTCCTTGCAGGGGAAAAATATGTAAACAAACTAAAGTGTGTAAAAAAGCGTATAAAAAACTAAGAAATAAAGAAAAAAAATCTAGATCAAGGCTTGATCTAGATCAGAGTCAGGGTTAGTGTTAGGGTCAAAACAATGGTCAAAGCTCAAGACCAGGGTCAAAGGTTGGAGTCAAAGGTCAGGGTCAGTATATTTTAGCTAGGATTTAAAAAAAGCCTTTTTAAAATTAGCATGAGTGTCAGTTAGGGGTTTATTTACTAAAGCTGGAGAGTGCAAAATAAGGCTCACATCTGTATAGAAACCAATCAGCTTCCAGGTTGTGTTGACAAAGCTTAATTGAACAAGCTAACATTAGAGGCTGATTGGTTTCTATGCAGAAGTGAGCCTAATATTATAACTCTCCAGCTTTTGTAAATAAACCCTTTAGTGTCAGTGTCAATATGTTTTAGGTACGATGAAAAAAGAAAAATGCACACTTTTGTTTTTGGGCCCTACTATACAGCAAATAACATACATGTATGTGTTATCGTCCAGTTTGGCCCAGTTTTCCTTTGGTAATAATAAAAAACAAACAAACAAAACAAAACAAAAAAAACCAACAACAAAAAAAAAACAGGGGATATCCATTACAATTTACCACCAAATCATGAAAGTCCAATTTGTCCTTAAAAGAACAAGGTACAATCCATCTGTGTAAACAAAGAAATGGCAATCACATGTACAGTTTTACTAACACATGTCAAAGTTGCAAAGTTGGGGCTGGGTGTTAAGGTTTGTTTTACTCTGAGTGGGTTAAATGAAGAAATCACACCACTTTCAACAATAGTACTTTAGGTTATAAATATATTGAATTTTATATACTGTTTGTGAAAGTATATCTCATTTTGGTTAAATAGAAATAAAGACATAACCATAACTGAATGACATTTAGGGGTTTGTTTCAAAGTTTTCACCTAGGATATACACCACTTTTATTCAGGATTCACACATTTTTCTAATACAATATTATCTGAAACATAGGCAAAGTTTTGTGAAATCTTACATTAAAACATGATTAATAGATCCTTTAGTTTGCAAAATCACTGTGTATCATAAACAATTGAGTTTAATAAGTACGATGTTAAGTTTTCCTCTTTCAGTCATTTGTTGCATCTCTGTGCTGCTGATCTTTTGCTGTATTTTTGCAGTCACTTCCTACCTACATACCTACACTCAAACAGTGGATGCTTAGCATTTCTCAGAGCGGGTTCTTGGATACTGGGAACCTGCCAAATGTGTGTTGAAAAAGACACTTGTAGTCTCCATCTGAAGCCTATGTTACAACACAGAAGCACATTGAGGAGAGAATGACAGAGGTGTTGTCACTATATAACAGGAAGTGCCTGAACAAGCCTTTGTGGCAGGATCACCAGTTATTATTTGATGAAAGCAGCCATTTTAAAAACAATAAAATCTACTTTTGAAATTAAAATAGCATGCTAAAGCTTATACAAATATTATTGATTGGGTTAACATGCACTTGAAGTACTCAAGTTGGTGCTGATTCTAAGGAGTACGAAAACGGAGAGGTTGATTTACGAAAACTGGAGAGTGCAAAATCTGGTGCAGGTGTGTATAGGACCAATCAGCTTCCATTTTTATTTTTGGCAAAGCTTACTTGAACATGCTCAAGTTAGAAGCTGATTGGCTACCATACACAACTGCACCAGATATTGCACTCTCCAATTTTAGTAAATCAAACCCTAACTGTCTAATCCATATAATCCATGTAGAATCTACCATGTTTTATTACCCTCAGACAGCATAGAGGCAACAGTTCCTGATTGTTCTTTGAAAAGGAAAACAAGGGGGCACCAGCCTAAGTGCAATATTAAAAAAAAAAGAAGTGTCACCTCCATCAATAGGAGATGCTTACATCATGCCGGCAGCAATATGGACAGCTGAGCCCCCTCTTGATCCAGTAATGTCCATGAGAGCCTTGGTTATCTGGGCCCGGAGGTGACACATCCAGTGGCCAGATCCCATCTCATAGGCTCCAGAGGCAGGAGAACTCAGGGGAACAATGTCCAAGAAGAAAACAAGCAAGAGTGACGATTGAGCCATCCTATCAGGTCTAAAGAAAAAGTGGAAGCTTTGAAACAAGTCACCTGACTCATCCTCGCATTTCAATTGGATGTTGCCTCTGGCCTGGTCTTCTGTGCGTTCCATGGTGGTTACGGCATCCTCGACTGACGGCCTACGTTCACATCAGATCCTAGGTGCCTGAGCTCCAGTGGACATACACCAGCTCCTGCATATATCCTTCTTGGATTCGAAAAATGCCCATATACTTACCCAGTTGTGAGTAGTTATTTAGCTAATTTCAATAAACTTGTTTTTTAATACTGCACTTAGGCTGGTGCCCCCTTGTGTTCCTCTATGGGGAGCTGCCGCTATATAGTGCTCATTCCATGGACTCAATGGACTTTTTAATGTATGTTTTCTGATATTGTAACTTTATGTTATGGTGCTCATTGTCATCTCTCAGTGCCCATTACATGTGTTGTTTTCCTGATTGTCCTTTGCTTAATGCCTCTTTGAAGACTCATGAATAGGAGCAGATCAGCAAGATTTGTGGAGGAAAGGTGTTGCCAAAATCTAAGATTATAAAACCAGCATGCCATGCACCACAGGGCTGTCCTAACAGACTCATAAAGGTGTATTTTTTCTTTAACAATGGAAGTCACCATTAATTACCAAATAGTCAAATTTTAATGGAAAATAAAAACAATAGATTATTATATCACATTGACATTGAACTAGAAATAATATACATTGGGAATATACTCATTTTCTTGGTATGTCCAGATTGGTAAAGGAAGCTCAATTTGAACACAGCAGAGTAAGACATGTTTTAGTAATATATTATTCATTTTTATTAACAATTTCATTTTTTTTTAGCTGAAACTGTTGTGTAGAGGGAACACTTTAATATAGTGTCAACCGACAGCATATCATGTTTTTCTCATGTGTTGCTTTTAGGACTGGCAACATAGAAATTGTAAATGTATTTTCACAGTTAATATGCCTGCAACACATCCATATACCTTCATATTCAAATTCCCTGGCTTAATGTGCCAAGTATCAAGTTGCAGACAGAATATATGCAGTACATGGGCTCTTGCTGATTTTGCGTACAAATCATTTCAAGAAGGGATTTAAATATCAGAGAGGCTCTTCATGTCTCCTTTTATGCCCTGATTTACAAGTGTTTAACAGTATAGAATTATACAAAAGAAACACAGCACAATTTGAGCATAACAAATCCTAATTTTTTGGACTCTAGCCTGACAGATTCATTCTGCACCTGAAAGGGAAGGAAAAAGGAAAGAAAACCAATTACTAAAGATCAATTATGTGAATCAAAAATACATTGCCCATGAACAATAGATGATGTAAAATTTTAGGAAACTATCCAATTGCTGGAAAAAGATCTTCCTACCATCTAAACATCAGGTATATATGCAAGCTCGTATTCAACAAATATGTGCTTACATGTGAAGCACAGTCAAGGCTAGGATTGATTTTTTTCTTGGAGAATGACTGGCTAAGAACTAGAAACATTACAACCAGTTTCCTAACTGTTTTTTCCCATTAACCAAAGAGTACTTTTCTTTGTCAACTGTGTGTCATAGACAGACAAATAATCTGCTAGTGACAATACCAAAATAACAAAAAATCCCAAAAGAGTGCCTAATACCCAATATCACTATTTGATAAGCTTGATGTTGTAGATAGGAAATAAGAAATTACATGTGACGGTCTAGCTTTATCTATTACATTCCAAGCCCTTCACCCTCTGGCATTCCAGGAGAGCTGAGATCCATATTTCATTTATAATGCAGCCAAAAAAAGGTATGATATCAGAGTGGTACAGAAATAACGCAGTTTGTAATTTGGTGGCCAGAATTAATTTGAAAATGACTCTGCTAACTAGCAGCTTTACTGGTTAGATCTACTGGTTTATTGATGACTATACATGACCAAAACTGGTCCCAGAATTACCAGCCTAGGCCAACATTCAGGTGAGAAACAGTCCACATATGTTATATCTCTTATAGAATTATCTGTTTAAGAATAAGAACTTTTTATTGAATAAGGCCAATCATTCTTTAAGTGTAATAATATATACACATAAAGTGTGTGTATATTAGTTTCTGAGGTGGGTTTGAAAACTGAAGTAATTGTGGTATTGCTCACTGCTGTAACAGGAACAGATATGTTTAAATGTTTTGTTATACAAACATTTTTAGATAGTAGATGGTGCGCCTCACCTAGGTTCATTATGTATATTGGTATTGTTGTCCAGAAATCAGTTGTTATTCATGTTGTGGAAACTGCTTTTCAGAAGTAGTTTGCTGTTATGAGAACAGGTCATCACATCAGCTTATATAGAAGCAGGGTGACCAGTTATTCAAATGCCTCCCCGTAGTTTTAGTATCATCCTATCAGTGTCTCCAGTTGGGAGAGACCTATGCCATGGCCAAGCTTCAGTCTCTGCCTGATATTTCAAATCTTTATTAACCTGAACGTTGTGCAATATAGAAGCACACTTCTTATCTATAAGACTGAACCTGTTGATGATACCGGC